ATATTCTTATGTATACTTCATTATCACTATTGTCCTGTATTTATTTCTCTAGCAAAATATATCTTACATGTTTGCAAAAGTCGTTATTTCTGTACTTTGCCCGTGCGTGACGTTGACACCACATGCTGTTACGCACGGCCAAATGATAGAAATAACGACTTTTGCAAATATGTAAGATATATTTTCCCAATAGAATAAATACACAAAAATAATACCCTCCGTCCCACTTACCGTGTCTGCTACATTGTAGACACAATATTTTAGGAGGGTGTAATTAATAGATAATTATGAATGTATTAGTGAAAATAATTATCCTATAATATAAATAATTATAAATTAAGATTAAGATAATTAATTAGTTTAATTAAAATTAAAAAAAATTAAAAAGTTTAAAATGAGATTAAAGTGTGTAATCATTTTCCAAAAAAAGAAAAGTGACATGGAATGTGAGACGGACAGAAACGACGACGTGGACATAGCACGTGGGATAAAGAGAGTAATTAGGTACACATGAGGATATTTTTTGCAATTTACATTACTACATGCTATCTAATCTGCTAAAATAAATTTCTTAAAATCATAATAATAATAAAGAAAATAAGTGGATACACATAATAAAAAAAAAAAAAAGTCAAGATAAGGATATCTTTATCAAAGAATTTTAAGCATGAAGACTTTTCTCGTTTCTAAAGCGTCATCGCTTGCGATTAATGAGAGGGTGCTGGAAATAAGTTTGAATTAAAAGGGGTTGATTATTTTATATGTATTTAATAGCCAATTAATATTATTATTTTTGTCGGGTAAGACAATAACCTTACCATTTAGTCGTAGCTCAATTTTTATCATTGTTTCATTAGTTAATATATATATATATATATGTATATACATACATATACTCCATCAGTTCCAATACAATAGTTTTATTTACCATTTGTGTCCGTTTCAAAACAAAAGTCTTATTTTCATAAATAATCATATCACCGTAAAACTACCCCTACTTTTTTCATTTTTATTACACAATTGCCACTACTTTTTACACTAATATCCATACATTCTACTAACTATCAATATAATATCAATATTCGTTAAATCATGTGCCCAACTCAATTAACACTATAGTTTTGGGACTGAGGAAGTATTAATTTTCAAATATTAATTTAATAAACTGGGCGTTCCTGGCACGGTTCAAAAAATTTCGGGTCTTCTTTTTAAGGTCCAAGCACACTTTTTTTGTGTCGAGTTCGATCGAGTTTTCGAACTGTACCTATTTTTTTCGATTCTAATTATAATCATAATCTATAATTATTTATATTATATAATAATTATTTTATTAATATATTTTTTTAATAATTTATTAATTATACCCTCTTGGCAAATATTATTTTCATAAACTGGGCGTTCCTAGCATGGCTCAAAAAAATAATATATTTGTAACATAATTTCGTCCCTAAAGTTTACGTAGCTAACGTAATTTTATTCCTAATTCCGTCTCTAATGTCATTAGTAACGGAAAAAGTAGATTTAGAGACAAAAATATTTTGTTACAAAAATAATTTTTTATTGTAGTGAGATTCTTGTATCTACATAAAATTAGACAATTAAAATGAAACGGAAAGAATATAAAATACAAAAACATAAAAAATTAAATATATTTATAATAGAAATATAAAAAATAAAAATAAAGTACTAGGAGAGAAGCTCAGGAGATATTTTGGATTCTTTTTTTCTTTTTTTTTTTTTTTTTTGGCTTTTTTACATTTATTGCAGGCCTAGATGAGAGATCTTCACATTCGAGACCCTCCCTTAATTGTCGTTCATATGCAATTTTTGTTTTGACTTTCCGCATGTAGATAAATAAATTAATGCATATATATCTAATAATTTAATTTTTCAGAAGGTTCATCTAACAACTCTAATTTCAAAGCAAAAGTGTTTGGTTGTGTATATTTTTTGTAGGGTTTTTCCAATTCATATATTTTTTTTCGGCAAAAACATCATATAAATATTTACTTTTTTTTTTAATATATTAAAAATTAATTTTATATTTTAAAATATCATATAAAAATTTATTTATATTACATCAAATAAGTAGTCAATTTTAAAAATTTACTATGAAAGGGTAAACTGATTTTTAGTGAAGTATCTCAACTTTTATCATTTTAGTCTGGAGCTGTAAGTGAAAACTTTTTGCGATTTTAGTTTTTTTGGCGGGGGGCAAAATTAGAAGTAAAAACACCTCCTAAAAACTAGTCAATACTGGCATTTGCTCTCACAATTGGACTTGATGCCTTACCTATTTGAATTAGCACACATCCACCCAAAAAATATATGGATAAAAGTAGTTGCTTCGACAAAACATAACTTTATACAAAAATACGAACATAATTAAACAGTAAATTATACTATCTCCATCATTGAAATTCATGTCAATTTGATCGGACACAAGTTTTAAAAATAGTGAGTTTAAAATAAAATTATTTTATATAGTAAAAAAAAAATGATATTTTTTAACTAAAAAAAAGAGAATATTTTTAAATGACAATCAAAAATAAAAAATGAATATAGATTTAAATGACATAGGGAATATATAGTATTTGTATTTAAATATACATACATAAAATTTATTGGGCTGCTCTTCTTTGTGTTAGCATTAAGCAAAGTATACACATAAAGTTATGATAATTGAATATACGTGATTTTCTCACATTTTTAGTTGATGTATATCTATCTCTACGTACTTGTACAATACGACATTTGTGTGTTTGAATTGTTTGAATATACGCGAATAATAGTTTTTGCGATTTTCTCGCATTCTTCATGGTTCAATTATCGATCACGAAGATTGTTTCACATGCATGGAGCCATCATTCTTGAACTACAGCAAGCAAGAATAACATATCATGCTGCTGACTACTACGAACTTTAATGATAATATAATGTAGGGGTGGGCATCGGGTCAGATATTTCTAGTTTGGTCATTCGGATGGCTATTCAAATTTTTCGGTAGCTTAAGATACGATCCAACCCCAACCTGAACTTTTTGGATACCTGAGATATCAGGTACTTGGATATCCACCATAATTGAGTTCAGATACTTTAATTTTCTATCTTTAATATTTTTGTATTTAAAAATCACTCCTTTCGGGCTAACTTTGGTTAGACAGAAAGATTAAAAAATAATAATATTTTAAAATAAAAGAGTAAAAAGAAAGTATTATATAAAATTTATTTACAAATTTTAAATATATGATGTGATAAATAAAAAAAAAAGTAGTGACAAATTAGTTATTATTTGATAAAGTAGATATAATAATAACATTTTTTTATTATAAATTGATCGTGCATAAATTTAAAAGACAATAAAAAAAAAATGACATAATTACAATAAACGAAGGGATTTTTTTTTTTTAGTACGAATATATATTTATTTTTTGTATTTTGTAGTTAAAAAACACTAAATATAGCATGAGTTTTTACTTTAAAAATAATCTTTGTTTAATTTTTTGTTTTGTTAAAAAAGTGGACTCTGTTTGAAAATAATTCCGTAAGTAAAATTTTTTCGTTAAAATGGTCATCCGGGTGCCAGACTCGCCACGCTGGCCTGCCGTTGCTGATGTGGCGCTGACGCGGCTGACATGTCAACGCAATGAGCAAGGCCGTTTCGGACTTTCTTTAGGCCCTGAGCGAAAATAAATTATAGGCCCTACAAATAAATGATTAAAATATATTTTAATAATATTACTGATTGACGTTGATTGAACAAGAGGTTGAATGATCGTCTAGACAATGTCAATTTGAGAAAAGAAGATGAAAGATAGTCTCTCTAAAAGTTCGAAAAACAAGAAGGACCGAAGGATGGTGAAAGATATAACAGAAAAGGTGAGACAGGTTTGATCGAGTTGTTGGGGGCAATACTATAGGGTGTAAGACAAAGAAATATAGACAATTAGAAATAAATAATTTTTTTTTATATATGATTAAAAATTTAAATTTAATTTTAAAATTAAATAGGATAATTATGAAAAAGAAAAAAAAATATAAATTAAAAGTTAAAATTTTAATAATAATAATAATAATAATAATAATAATAGATAATATTTAAAATATAAGCCCTTTATTGATTAGGGCTCTGAGCAGTTGCTCACCCACCCTGCTCCTGCTATGAGCCGCCCCTGGCCATGAGATGCCACGTCAGTGGATTTTTTTTTTTTTTTTTCATTTTACAAAATATTTTGGTAAACTATATTTTTAGTATTGTATATAACTCCCTTTATCATATTTAGGATATTTAAGTGACTCTGTTTCAAAATAGTCTGTAAGTAAAATTTTTTTGCTAAAATGATTTTCCGACGTGGCATCCACGGGGCGATGACATGTCAGCCGCGTCAGCGCCACGTCAGTAACGGCTGCCAGTGTGGCAAATCCGATATCGAATGACCATTTTAACAAAAAAATTTTACTTACGGAACTATTTTTACACAATGTTCGCTTAAAGTTTACTAAAAAAAAATAATTTATCCTAAAAAAACATAACCTAAGAGTTCGTCATTTTTACAATTTTTTTTTAAAAAAATTACTATTAAATTATTCATTCTTTCAAATAAAATATATTGTTTTTTTTTTTAATCATATCAAATAACTATATAAAAAAATAGGCAAAATTATTTACAATTCACCAGTAGTTTAAAAATTCAGCATCATACTCCCCGTGGTTTAAAAATTGTACAAAACTTTTTTATATTTTAAAAAATATTCTATAAAATACCTTAAAAATTGAATAAGATTTTCTTGTATATTTGAAATATTGCATAGAGTTAATATTCTGAAAAAGACATAAGGAAAAACAATATAAAATTTTCATACTACTAGTGAGACATTGCCTAAAAGATAAAAAACAAAAAAAAATCATAAGCAAACATAGACAATGTCGTGGCAGAATGGTTCACTTCAACTATTTATAGTTCAAACTTGCATGTAATTTGAGTCGAGTCACCATTCAATATTCCAATCTATGGATACTGAACTATCATCTTCGATCATCCTTTTTTCATCCCTCATTTTTCTTGCATTCTTATGGAATGTAATCACTCGCTCCAAACTCCCCCGGAGCTCCGGCAAACTTCCGCCGGGGCCGAGAAAGCTGCCCTTCATCGGGAGCTTGCACCACCTTATTAAGTCGCGACCACCCCATCACATTTTAACCAACTTAGCGTCGAAATATGGGCCGTTGATGCACTTGCAACTAGGCGAAGTCAGCGCCATTGTTGTGTCGTCGCCTGAAGCAGCAAAAGCGGTCATGAATACGCATGACGTCAACTTTTCTAATAGGCCATCCCTCTTTGCCTCAAAAGTTATACTTTATGAGAATTCTGATGTAGCATTTGCGCCGTATGGCGAATACTGGAGACAGTTGCGAAAATTTTGCACAATAGAGCTGCTGAGTCCAAAGCGCGTCCAATCTTTCCGCTCCTTAAGGGAAGAAGTGTTTATGAATATGTGCAGTTCGATAGCTTCGAAAGAAGGCTGCTCCCTCGACATGTCTGAGAAACTTTCTTTGATTACGTGTGACTTGATTTTGCGGGCAGCCCTTGGCAATACGAGTATCGATGAACACTCACCGTTGGTGTCCATAGTCATTGAAGCTTTTGTAATAATCGGAGAATTCAATCTCGGCGATCTTTATCCCTCCATCAGTTTGTTTAAAGGAATCGGCGGATATAAAGGCCGGTTGGAGAAGTTGCGCAAACATATGGATACGTTGCTCGACAAGATTATCAATGCTCGAAGAGCAACCAAATCTCAAGATCAAGAGGAGGAAACCTTCACCGATGTTCTCCTCAATTTCCATAAGGACACGGGGCATGAATTCCAATTAAGTGATGATAACATAAAAGCTGTGCTAGTGGTTCGTCGATAAAATTTTTTCGCAAAATACTTATAATCTACTCGTGGTTTGAAAAATCTGCATCGTATCGCTAAATTCCCTTATGTTTTTAAAAACAATAAACATCGCATAAAATACCTTTTTAGGGAATTCTGTGCACTATTTTTTACGAGAGTGCATGGAGTATGGTGCAAAATTTTTAGAAAACATGTTACTTATGAACAATTTTGTCAATATTTTTTTTTTTTTTTTTTTTCTGATTTTAAATGTTTGTTATTTTTGTTGCCACGCAGGATATATTCGTTGGTGGGATCGAAACTTCATCGGCTACAGCAGAATGGGCTATGGCAGAAATGATGAGACATCCAATTGTTCTTAAGAAGGCACAAGATGAGGTGAGACGGGTTTTCGGCGACAAGGGGTTTGTCGATGAGTCCGACTTCGATGAGCTAAAGTACCTAAAGTTAGTGATCAAAGAGACTTTTAGAATTCACCCACCGGGGCCTCTACTGCTGCCGAGAGAAAGCTCGGAGGCCTGTGAGATTAATGGCTACACAATACCTGCAAAAACAAGGACTATGGTGAATGTATGGGCCATTGGAAGAGATTCTAAAATCTGGAAAGATGCTGAAAGCTTTATTCCAGAGAGATTTCTCGATAAAGATATTTCTGTCGATTACACAGGGAAGGGTTTCAAGCTCATGCCTTTTGGTGCTGGGAGAAGGATGTGCCCTGGAATGGCATTTGGCCTTGCCAATGTCGAAGTCCCGTTGGCAATGTTGCTTTACCATTTTGATTGGGTTTTGCCACAGGGAATCAAACCAGAAGATTTGGACATGGGAGAAGCCATTGCCCTTTCAGGAAGAAAGAAAACCCCACTTTATGTGATTCCCAAATTGAAAAACCCTTTGCCTCTAAAGTGAAATCGAGGGACACTATCTTTGTTAATTTCTATGATCGAGCCATTTCATAGTCATGGGAAATAAGGCTTGATGTTATGTACTACAGTGGATTTGTCTGCTTTTTTTTTTTTTTTTTTTTTTTTAATTAGGGTTTTAATTTTGTTTTTGATTTAAATAGTATTTTAATTTGATATTATATGTAATAGTGTAGAATTGTGCGAGGTAAAGAGTCGTGGCTTGTGTTTGAAATAAAATTAAACAATATGTATGGATTTTGAAGTTTCAATTTGATTGTGTTACTTTTTCAAAACTTAGGCCAATAATTCCATCTATATATATCTTGTGTGAAAGAACATCTTGTTCTTAATTGTACGAATGAATCTTCCATAGTTCTTTGACACTTGATTATGTGTGCGTTTAGATTTATGTATAATTAATCTTGAGGACATTATCACATTTCATAGTTTTAATTTATGCTAGACGACCTTTTCAATAATTGCGGATAAGATTTAAGATTATTTCTCCACAATATTCACTTAAAAAACTAAAATGATAATAAGTTACTTATTGTCGGAAGTGGGTCAACTCAACACGAAGATATTGTCGGTTTTGGGTTGAACTTGTACGGATTTGTTTTTGGACTTTTTCTAAAAGATCTGGTACCAGTAGAGTTTATTTGAAACTTATAAAGATGTAAAATTTTCTTTGCATCTTTCGACGTGAAGTTAAGTTTGCACTCCAACATATATAAAAACTAAAAGAACATTTATTCCAATCTTTTATAAATCTTTTATCATATTTGTATTATATATATATATATATTAACTTATTAATTTTGATTCATTAATTATGAAATGTTTTGTGTTTCTTTGGTTGTGCTTTTGTTCCATGTTTTCGCTATAATTTTATTTTTTTTCGTATAAAATGTAATATTATAAACTTATTTTTAGTTTGATATAGTATAAACAATAAATATTCAAAATCTTGTATCAAATATATATTTGTATCACATTAAATAATCATTACAATTTAAATATTTTATTTTTTCTATTTTCGTCTGTCCCACATAATTTATCATTTTTTTTAAAAATATAATTATATACTTTAGTTACATTTAAAAATTTATAATTTATAATTTTTCTTATTTTAATTAAATTATTTAATCATTTTAATCTTAATATATAATTATTTTTATTAAATTATAATTATTTTTACTAATATTGGGAACTCCCGTTTGCGGGTATATGATTAATGGTTGTATTTCTCTAAAAGTTTGAACTTTTAGGTGAGGCGGTTATTCAGGATCCGACATGGTAGATACATTTATTAATCACACAATACCTAAAAAAAATTTAAAAATATTATCTTATTTTTATTTTATTTTATTTTTTTCATATACACTCTAATCGAATCATGAAAAATTTGTCCTGACAGTGATGTAGCCACAATGTTCATTTGAAATGTCAAGTTTAGCTGATGTGACAGATAGTCAAACCTTTTGCCTAAGTCACATAAACTTGTCATATCAAGTGCATTGTTTTATTCAGCTGAAGTGATATTCTATTCAAAATTGTATATTTTATGCAATAAAGTATTAACGGTTTGCATGTTCGTGCATTATTTTGGACTTGGATTTTGGGTTTTTAAAAATATAATTTAAAATTAGAATAATCATTTGATTCAATATATATTACTATTAATTAATGTTTGGAAATCCACTAACAAACATGACCTGTGTTACTTGGTTGATGGTTTGGTTATGATTTAATATTTTTCCTAGATAAAAATAAAAGATTATAATAAATAATCACCTTAAATTTGGAAAGAATTTGAGATGAGAAAATTGAAATTACATTGCCAATCACCAACCAAATTTCATGACAACCAAAATAGGCCATTATTGTTGCCATCATTATCATGTAACTTAACATCTATTTATTTCATATTTGTTATTTGAAGATATTTCAGTATGACATTTTTGTGTTTGAATGGTCATTGGTCGTTGCTCGTGCAATTATCCAAAACAAACTTTGAATGGAATTGAGAAATTAATGGTTTAGCATGTACGTAAGTATCAGGTGAAAATTTGTGTGTTTGAATGATCATTGATCATGCAATCATGTCTTGATAGTACAAGATTCTAAGCTGCTCCTTAACTTCCTGTTTGGAGGCTATGATTTAGTCAAAAAAGAATAAAATAAAATAATTATTATAATATAAAACTGAAATTTTCTATTTCAATAGTAAGAATACGTACATATTTATAGTGATATATAAATCTTCTAAATAAGACAAGAATCCCATGAATCTCTTAAATAAGACAACTACCGTAAATATAATATATTACTTCTAAATATATTTTAACACCCTTTTTCAAATTCAAGATAACAAACTTGAGTTTGTCAGAAGTGACCGAAAAAGATATAGCCGAGATCTTTCACGAACGAACTTGAATTTTCCATTAATTGAAAGTGGTGTAGCCGTCCACTGGATCAGAGTCAGAATTAGAACTCAACACCGTTAGAGTTGGAAACCGGACTCACTCGTTCACAACGGAACTAGAGGCGGAAACAAGACTCACTCGCTCGCTCACAACAGAGCTAAAGTCGGAAACAAAATTCACTCACTCTCAATAGAGTTAGATTCGAAAATAGGACTCTCAAGGCGTCAGAGTTGAAAGTAGAACTCTGTCAGTAGACATCAAAATAGTAGAGATGGAGACGACATGAAAATGACTGCACGATCGTTGATAGAAGCAAATTGATCAATAAAATATATATGAGATATAACGGATCATAGATGTATCCGGAGAAAATTTGACTCTGATACCATATTAAAATATAAAACTAAGATTCTTTATTTCAATTATAAGAATACGTACATATTTATAAATCGTCTAAATAAGATAAGAATCCTACGAATCTCTTAAATAAAACAACTATCATAAATATAATACATTGCTTCTAAATATATTTTAATAATGAATAAGAAAAAACGAAATCTTTAAGATATATATATTTTTAGTTCCGTATTTAACTCTATTACTATTTTAAAACTTTAAATAAATATTGTTTGATTAAATGATCATTGTTCATGCAATCATGTCTTGATAGTACAAGACTTTAAGCTGCTCCGTAACTTCCTATTTGGAGGCTATGATTTAATAAAAAAAAATACAATAAAATAAAATAAAATAATGAATAAGAAAAAATCAAATTGTTAATATATATATATATAGATAAATTTATTTTAGTTCCACAACGGGGAATTTCTAACACGTGTTTCTTCACTTGTAGTGGAGATAAGCGAAATGGAGATGGTGGGAGTCAATCTCAAAACCTAAGGTTTTGATACCACGTCCGATATGTATGTGCAAGTGGGAATTTTTGTTCTTCATAAATAAATTAATGATGTGTTTTCTTAATAATTTGAAATTTTTAGATGAGACGGTCATTCTACGCATTCGATATCCTATTAGAGGCTTAGTCTCGAGTTCCCAATAATTTTTTATATAAAAAATTCGTCGTACATACCTTGAGGGAGTAATTTTTATTTGTGTGTTTCTTTTTTTTCTCTCTCTCTTTATATATATATAAACAAGGGTAAATTATACAACATCTCATGTGTCTTAGTAAAAATGTATAAAATATTATGTATTTTATTCATTCCGTAAAACTAAAATTTGCACAAAAACATCCTCCTTGTTCAAAAGTAATATTTGATTCTAAATAAAGACTTAAATTGTGCAAATTGTATACAAATAAAAAAATACAAAATTATCTTAAATATCAATTTCCGACAAAGAAGATCCTTTATGCAAATTTTACATTAATGCAAAGAGTTTCACGTAATAAATAAAATATCTACGTGGCAAACAACGTGCGACAATTTATAAACACATCTTTTCTCCATTACTTTTTGTCAATTTTAGTAGGTAATTTTAAGTAGAGTTAATGTCAATCAACAAGTATAAGAATATAAATTAAAAAGATCATCAAATACAAAAGTGAAAAATGCAATTATCCACTAAACATGTGGTCTGTTGTTGTTATTACTTATGTCCAACCAGGACGGAATTACACTAGGTTTGGGGATTCAATTGATCCCAAGCTAATTTTTTTATAATTTTTTTAGTATTAAAAATATTAATTTTTATGTATTTATATACAATTTTTCCTTCTAAAACTATCTAAATTCATATATAATTCTATCATTAATATTTATTTAAATTTATTAGCTAAATATTAAATAACTTATAATATTTTGCACATTTCGAAATTTAGATGCTAGTTTCGTCACTGTATCCAACAGTATGTCTTTGCACACTGCAGTATAAAGACATTGTTGAAGAGTCTAAATATTGCTATGTTAGTACTTGTTCATGTTGTACTTAGACTTAGATATTTTAGTAAACACTCATGAAGTAGATGGCAACAGTTTGTCTTCGTCAAATATTGTGGCTGATTCGTTTATGTGTTGTTTGTCTTTATAAGTTCCTAAATATAATTTTCCTTTAAAAAACCAAAAAAAATTATTGTTGCTGAATTGCCCTCTTCTACTATTTATAACACAAAAGTTGCAGCAAATTGCATTCAACTCACTCTTCAAGATTTAAATCTATGGATATTGAATTATCATCTTCTTCGAGTATCCTCTTTTCATCTCTCATATTTTTTGCTTTCCTATGGAACCTAATCTCCCGGTCGAACCGTGGCCGGAGTTCGGCCAATCTTCCTCCGGGGCCAAGAAAGCTGCCGGTCATCGGGAACTTGCACCTCCTCATTAGTTCCCGACCTCCCCATCATATTTTAGCCGACTTGGCGTCGAAATATGGGCCGATGATGCACTTGCGGCTAGGTGAAATCAGCACGGTTATTGTATCGTCGCCGGAGGCAGCAAAAGAGGTCTTGAAGACGCACGACATCAACTTCGCAAACAGGCCATCAAGCCTTGCGACGAAGATTTTATCATATGATTATTCTAACATAGCTTCCTCATCGTATGGCGAATACTGGAGACAGTTGCGAAAAATTTGCACGATGGAGCTGTTGAGCGCAAAGCGTGTCCAATCTTATCGTCCCTTAAGGGAAGAAGTGTTTTTCGATATGTGCAGCTTGATAGCTTCGGAAGAAGGCTCGTCGATCAACTTGACTGATAAAGTTTCCTTGGCGACTTGTGACATGATTTTGGGGGCATCCCTTGGCAGTAAGATTGATGAACACACAGCTTTGGTATCCATAGTGAAAGAACTTTTTGAGTTAGCCGGAGGATTTTATGTCGGCGATCTGTTTCCCTCCATCAGTTTGTTGCAAGTGATCGGTGGATTTAGAGGCCGCGTGGAGAAGGTGCACAAACTATTCGATACCATACTCCAGAAGATTATCGACAGTCGAAAAGTAGCCAATTCTCAAGATGAACAGCAGGAAAAATTAGTCGATATTCTCCTCAAGTTCCATAAGGATACCGGGCATGAGCTCGGCTTAAGCGATGACAATATAAAAGCTGTGCTACAGGTTTGTCATTAAAATTTTACTATGTTGAGTAAATTAGATGTTGTCGTATCACTACAAAAAAATAGTATATTTATAACAGAATTTCGTTCCTAAAGTTTATGTAGCTAACGTAATTTCATCCCTAATTCCGTCTCTAATATAATTAGTAACAGAAAAAGTGGATTTAAGAACGAAAAATTTTCTTTACAAAATTGATATTTTTTTATAGTGTAAATTTATCTTGCTGAAAAAATATATTTTATGTCTTATATTTGTCTCGCTGGAAAAATTGCAAAAAAAATCATATACTCCATTATCACTTTTGTCCTATATTTATCTTAATGAAAAAATTGCAAAAAATATTATATACTCCATTGTTATTCTTGTCCTGTATTTATCTTGTTGGCAAAATATATCTTATATGTTTGCAGAAGCCGTTATTTCCGTCATTTGGCCAAGCCTGATGTTCAGATCTCGCGCAGCCAAAGGAAATAAATAGTTACTTTTGCAAACATGTAGATATATTTTGATAACTAGCAAGATAAATATAGAAAAAAAGTGATAATGGGTATACATGTATGATATGTTTTGCAATTTTCTCTAAGTTTCATTGATCACTATGAATCTTCTTGTGCGCATAGGATATGTTCATTGCTGGAATCGAAACATCTTCTGCTACTACAGATTGGGCTATGGCGGAATTGATGAGACATCCCAGTGTCCTTAAGAAGGCACAAGATGAGGTGAGACGGGTTTTTCGTGACAAGGGGTTTGTTGATGAGTCCGACTTCGATGAGCTAAAGTACCTAAAGTTAGTAATGAAGGAGACTTTCCGAATGCACCCGGCCGGGCCTCTACTCGTCCCGCGAGTAAGCAAAGATACCTCGGAGATCCATGGATACACAATACCTGCAAAAACAAATGTTTTGGTGAATGCATGGGCCATTGCAAGAGATCCCAAAATCTGGAAAGATGCCGACAGCTTTATACCAGAGAGATTTCTCGATAACAATATTTCATTCGATTACAACGGGAAGAATTTTGAATTCATCCCTTTTGGTTCTGGCAGAAGGATTTGCCCTGGAATGTCATTCGGCCTTGCCAATGTCGACCTCCCATTGGCAATGTTACTCTACCACTTTGATTGGGTTTTGCCACAGGGAATGAAACCTGAAGATGTCGACATGGAAGAAACCTTCGGCAGTACAGCAACAAGAAAAACTCCTCTTTACGTGATTCCCAAATTGAAAAACCCTTTGGCTTCAAAGTAAAATCGAGGGACACTATCTTCCATTTCATGTTCGGGCCATTTCATAATCATGGATAATTGTTATACAGCATAGAAGTTGTAACTTATGAGCTGAAGTTTCGAGTGGAATACAAGGCGACGAATTAGTATACGCATTCGTTTCAGATCGAATAATTAATTAACAATAGGTGTGCAAAAAATAATAACAGCCCGAAAGCTCAAAAACTCGTATTGGAACCTTAAAAAAATAGGCTAGAAAATTTATAATATTGTTTGATAATAAAAATCTTAATTTGTACATTTTTGGTTGTAAATTCAATTCTTCACTTCTACAATTAAAATATATTTTATTGTAAATTAATTGTAACTTTAAAAATTAAACAAAATAATTTAATATTTTTTTAAAAAAGAATAAAACGTTTCGGCACGGCACAGCACGGCCCAATCCAATTTCAAATCGATCCAGTGTTTTCAGTCTAGCATTGGTTTTTGTTGATTTCGAATTATCTACTTGATTTTGATTTGGTTTAATATTATTTTGAATTTATTCGTCATTCGGTTCCATTAATTAAATCGTAATATTTTTACTAGATGTTGTTGGATAAAACCAATCAATCCAAAATATAAATTTATAATGGGTAAACTAACTTTTTAGTCAATTAGACCCTTTTATCCGTTTAGTCCCGTAAGTGGAGCATGTGTCTTTCAGCACCGGAGACGCCCGCATGGCTCGCCGGACGCCACGTGTCCGCTAGGTGTCCCGCCAGGTCAGCGACACTTGGCGGACACGTGGATTTTTTTTTTAAATTTTTTTTCAATTAGACCAAATAAAAAAAAATTAAAAAAGGCAAATAGAATTTAAAATCAGTTTTTTTAAAAAAATAAAAAAAAAATAATAAAATCCACGAGTCAGTCAGGTCAACAGGAAACGTAGCTTCTAGCGAGCTACGTGGACGTCTCCGATGTCGGAGGACTAAAACAGCGAGAATTTTTTACTTATAGGACTAGTTTGCAACAAGCTCCGGGACTAAAATGATAAGGAGTTATGCACTAAAAAAATCAGTTTACCTATTTATAATTAACAAATTGCATAAAGATGTGTGTTTTTGTTCATTTGGGTATTTTAGTTACACTGACGATGTATTTTAATTAATTTGGAGGTTTGGGGGGGGGGGGGGGGGGTTCATTTGAGTTTTAATGTTAAATTTATGTTTCCTATAATATAAAAATATATTTTATTTGATACTGACAATCAAATTAATGAATAATAAAAAAACCTATATACGTGTCCAAAGAAACACAGCCTGATATGGTCTCTCCTGTAAGATAGAACATCTTGTTCTTAATTTTAAGAATGAATCTTCCATAGTTCTTTGTAACTTGATTATGTGTGCGTTTAGATTTATGTATAATTAATCTTCAGGACATTATCACATTCCATAGTTTTAATTTATGCTAGACGACCTTTTCAATAATTGCGGATAAGATTTAAGATTATTTTTCCACAATATTCACTTAAAAAACTAAAATGATAATAAGTTACTTATTGTCGCAAGTGGGTCAACTCAACACGAAGATATTGTCGGTTTTGGGTTGAACTCGTACGGATTTGTTCTTAGACTTTTTCTAAAAGACCAGGTACCAGTAGAGTTTATTTGAAACTTATAAAAATGTGAAATTTTCTTTGCATCTTTCGATGTGGAACTTAAGTTTGCACTCCAACATTTATAAAAACTAAAAAAACATTTATTCCAATCTTTTATCATATTTGTATTATATATATATATTAACTTATTAATTTTGATTCATTAAATTATGAAATGTTTTGTGTTTCTTTGGTTGTGCTTTTGTTCCATGTTTTCGCTATAATTTAATTTTTTTCGTATAAAATATAATATTATAAACTTATTTTTAGTTTGATATCGTATATACAATAAATATTCAAAATCTTGTATCAAATATATATTTGTATCACATTAAATAATCATTACAATTTAAATATTTTATTTTTTTATTTTCGTCTGTCCCACATAATTTATCATTTTTTTTGAAAATATAATTATATACTTTAGTTACATTTAAAGATTCATAATTTATAATTTTTCTTATTTTAATTAAATTATTTAATAATTTTAATCTTAATATATAATTATTTTTATTAAATTATAATTATTTTTACTAATGTTGGAGATTCCCGTTTGCGGGTATATGATTAATGGTTATGTTTTCCTAAAAGTTTGAGCTTTTAGGTGAGACGATTATCCAGGATCCGACATGGTATCACAGTCTAGGCTAAGTCTCGAGTTCGAGTCCCGCCCGTTGGCATATTTGGGAATATCATTCGATACGGGGATACATTTCTTAATTATTTATTGATTACACAATACCTAAAAAAAATTTAAAAATATTATCTTATTTTTATTTTATTTTATTTTTTTCATATACACCCTAATCGAATCATGAAAAATTTTTCCTGACAGTGATGTAGCCACAATCTTCACTTGAAATGTCAAGTTTAGCTGATGTGACATAGTCAAACCTTTGGCCTAAGTCACGTAAACTTGTCATATCAAGTGCATTGTTTTATCGGACAATTGGTTTGCCCTTCCTACAGCTATTGTTCAATTATAATTCAGTCTCTATTTTAAAACAATTGGTCTGCACTTCCTCCTTTACATATTTAGTTTAATATTAGTCCTGTTTTAGATTTTCTCAAATAAAAATTGAATGTAACTCTAGAATATCTTTAAATGCTTCCAAATTTATTTTATATACTTACAACACATTTTGTTTAAAATTTGTCCACGTAGCTCCGAATCTTCGGTTTACCAGTTTTCGAACATCTTGTTACGGTTTATATATTTGTCAAAGTGCAAACTGCTGGTTCAAACCGCCGGTTTACGGTTTCAACCGACGGTTCGGCCATTATTTTTTTCTTTTTAATTTTAAATCTGCACGCCGGCTGCGATTGTGGATTATAGAATGTTATGGGCGGGCGGCGACAGTGAAGAAGAAGCATGAGGAAAGAAGAAAAAAAATGAAAAAGAAGAAAATACAAAAAAAAAACGAAAAACGAACTCTTGCAACTGTAGCTGCGGTGGAATGTGGAGAGTGAATGTTCTAAGCTAAAATTGTATATTATATACTTGTAATTGAAATTACTATATATCATTAAATTGTTATAAAAATAAAGATAATATTAATATTAATAAAAATAAATAATTATTAATTATATAATAATAATATACATTATTTTGGTTATTTATATTTTAGATTTTGTATTTCTTATCATACAATTATATAATTGAAACTATCTTATTATCTAATACACATCAATTTCTTAAAATTTAATTTTGTTTATTTTAATTTAAAATTTAATTTGATTTAATTACTTAGTAAATTTATTATTTTAATTACTTTTATATTGTAACAATCTTAGCAATTATTATTTATATGATTTTACATAATAAATAAATAATAAATATATCTGAATGAAATTAAAATCGAAAATAATATTTTTGAATAAATTTTTAAATTTAGAAAAACTTAAAAAGGAAAAAAAAAATATTAAAAATGAATGTACATAAATCGGCGGTTCAAACCGTAATCGTCAGTTTTTTAAACCGCAATCGAAACCGTCATTCAGAAGGTTCGGTTTCGGTTTGACATTTTGATAAACCGTAATCGAAGGTTTGAACTATTTTGGTGTACCTGATATAACCAGGTTGGAGGTACAACATAACTGCTCTAGAATACTCACCTGCTTAGCCGAGTCATACCCTATGCTTAGATGGCCTTGACCAAAAATTGTTGTGTGCGCTACGGTGTGAATTAATATGTAATAGATCTAAATATTTTCAATTTGTGATAGCAATCATGTACTCTAACGACCAATATAATTCAATTTAGTCACTTATGACTTTACTAGACATCTACTAGTTGAGGTTGGACTATAATAGTACATATATCATACAACCTATCCAAGTCATTTTTTACTTGGTTAACCATTCATAATAAATATGTGTTGTTTACCTTTTCTGACAATTTGAAGTGTCACAGGAAGATTATGATAATGATCGCATCCTTAGTTACCGTCGATGACTCCAAATATGATCATATTCTTAGCTTGACAAAAATGTGTATTACTTGAATTTCTGCATAAGAACCATCAAAATAATTCGTAATCGGCATACAATATTGATTTATATCACTAGGCATGATCCAAAATTCGTTGTTGAGACTATTAACGATTTTCGCCCTCTTAAGCGGTATTCTGGAGCCAGAAAAGTTAAGGCAGACGCCACAAGCGACAGCCGCCTTCGCTCGCAAGCGCCCAAGACACACCTTGAAAACACTAAGGCATGAGAGGCAAGCGGCCACCTTCATAGCCGCAAGCGATAGCCTCTCCCGCTTGCAAGGTACAGTCCAGATACCCGCCGCTGCAGACTATCACCAGAATTCAACTAAGTACTTCAAATGCAGCGGTACAGCCATTCCAATTCCAGCTAGCACAAGCGAGCCGAGTTACGCTGATGCCCTCCTGCTCTCCAGCAAGCGAGGAAGATCTGTGCCATCAACGTAAGCGAAGCGGACACCCTGGGAGTTATGGCCAGCAACTGCTTCAACAGAATAACCACCTGCAACCGCCTAACTGCCCAGCGGTTGGAACTGCCCAACAACTTCTTGCAACCATCTCTTTACACCTGCTATAAATAGGGCCAGATATCTTTATGTATAGAGAATCGAATTCTTGGATAATTTCAGAATACACACAGCGTTCGTCGTCTTCCTGTTTCCGAGAGCTCCAACCCTGTAAGGGAGTTCTCCACAGGAAAGGCCAAGGGAGTGGGCGTCTTCCCTCTCCCTTGGCCGCGTCTTTAATGCTTTCTTAGACTAGATTACTGCTTTCATTTACAGCTTTGTAGTTTAATCCTTTTCGCATTTTCGTAGTATATAAGGAAATATCATTCACTTCTTCAAATTAAATTCTTCCATAATTTTCCATACTTATATAAACCAATTTTAGAGAATTTCATATCACTGGTATAGAGCGAGAGACGAATTGATTAATTAAGCCTTGTGATGCGCCGAAAGCGGTCTCAAGGTAGTTCAACGTAGTTAAGTACGCGGGAGCCTTGTCGACCTACTTAACTACTGTGCTAAATTTGATTCTGATAAAATAGTACCAACATCAGGGGGTAAAGCCACTAATGAGGCAGAAATTGGGAAAATTAACGGGACATAGACGGGGGTCTATTAGGTCGCAGAAA